CACTGCACCATCATGGGTATCAACCCATCCGACCTCATAGAACCCCGGGAGGCTTGTGGTTTGTGCTCACTGCTCAGTAACGTGAGGGGAAACTGAGGCTGAGAGCCCGTCACTTCCTAAACGCCGCCCGCCGGGCAGCCAGTGACCTGCCCACAGGTGCCCATGGCTCTGGGCTCCTGAGTGTCAGACCCCATCTGGCGGCTCTGGGGGCCGAGCCAGGGGCTCCCAGGCACGACCCAGCTCCAGGGTGTTCAGTCCACCCTGGACGGTCACCGATCACATGGCCTGCCAGGGTCAGGGGTGTGTCCCCTCTGCTGGCCCCCGAGGGCAGGGCCCCCTGCACAGTCCTCGGATGTGGGGGTGGGGCTCAGAGGTCAGGACACTTGTGCTTCCCCAGCTGTGCCCCCACCTCTCCGCAGCTGCCCCCTCGCCTGTGCCATGGGGAGTTCTTGCTGCTGCCATGGCTGGTCCAAGGGCCTGCCCTTCTCCTGGGGGACCTGCCCTTCTCCTGGGGGGGACCTGCCCTTCTCCTGGGGGCGGGGAGCAGCTGCCAGCGGGTTTGGGCTGCTCCCAGGGAGGCCATGTGCCTCCCCAGGCGGCAGATGGAGGGCGGGCAAAGCTGACCTGCAGTGAGTGGCTGGGGCTAGAGCCCCTCAGCGTGTTGCTTGTTGCACCCCCAGCCCCCCCTTCCAGACGGGCCTCCTGGTTTCTTTCGCGCCCCCCCCCCACAGCCTTTCTGGGGGCGCTCCCGGAGGTCCTTTCTCCTGGCACCCAGTCCTCCCACGCCTGCCCCCTAGGACCCTGGAGAAACCTCGGGCCCCTCTACAGCGGCCCTGCCCCTGACTTGGGGACGGGGGCAGCAGCCCCCAAGGCGGGGAGGCCGGCGTAGCCACGGTCCTGCCGCCAGCCGGCCCCTTCCTGCCGGTGCTGGGCCTCTGGCAGCGGAATGAAAGTTGCGCCTCTGGGTTTCTCTCCTTTGAAACAAACGCGGTGGCAGGAGGCAGGCGCTGTGGCTTTAGATCGTCAAAGGGGGAGCCCCCTCTCCCCGCCCCCAAA